ATTGTAGCTTCGTTCACACAGACATTGTAGCTTCGTTCACACAGACATTGTAGCTTCTTGCACACAAACAGTGTAGCCTCTTGCACGCATACATTGTAGCCTCGTGCACACAGCTATTGTAGCCTCGTGCACACAGACATTGTAACCTAACTTTGTGGACACAAGCTTTGTAGCCTCTTGCACACGTACATTGTAGCCTCGTGCACACAGACATTGTAGCCGCGTGCACACAGACATTGTAGCCTCTTGCACTCAGACATTGTAGCCTCTTGCACGCATACATTGTACCTCGTGCACACATCTATTGTTCTTCGTGCACACAGTCATTGTAACCTTGTGGACACAAACATTGTAGTCTCTTGCACACATACGCTGTAGCCTCTTGCACAAAGACATTGTAGCCGCGTGCACACAGATACTCTAGCCTCGTGCAGACATACAGTGTAGCCTCGTGCACACAGACATTGTAGCCTCTTGCTCTCAGACATTGTAGCCTCGTGCACACAGACATTGTAGCCTCTTGCTCTCAGACATTGTAGCCTCGTGCACACATATTGTTGCCTTGTGCACACAGACATTGTAGCCTCATGTACTCAGACATTGTAGCCTCGTGCATACAGACATTGTTGTCCCATTGAACACACAAATTATAGCCTCGTGCACACAGCCATTGTTACCTCGTGGACCCATTCATTGTAGCCTCTTGCACACAGACATTGAAGCCACTTGTACACATACTTTGTAGCCTCGTTTACACAGATATTGTAGGCTCGTGCACACAGACATTGTAGCCTCGTTCACACAGATATTGTAGGCTCGTGCACACAGACATTGTAGGCTCGATCACACAGATATTGTAGGCTCGTGCACACAGACATTGAAGCCACTTGTACACATACTTTGTAGCCTCGTTTACACAGATATTGTAGGCTCGTGCACACAGACATTGTAGCCTCGTTCACACAGATATTGTAGGCTCGTTCACACAGATATTGTAGCCTCGTGCAGACATATATTGTAGCCTCGTGCACACATACATCGTAGCCTCGTGCACACATATATTGTAGCCTCGTGCACACATACATCGTAGCCTCGTGCACACATATATTGTAGCCTCGTGCACACAGACATTGTAGCCCCATGCACACGGTCATTGTAACTTCGTACACACAGACATTGTAGCCTCATGCGCACAAACATTGTAGCCTCGTGCACACATGCATTGTAGCCTTGTGCACAGGGACATTGTAGCCTAGTGCACACAGACATTGTAGCCTCGTGGACACTTACATTTTGGCTTCTTGCACACAGACATTGTAACCACGTGGACACAACCATTGTAGCCGCGGGCTCAGGAACATTGTAGCCTCGTGCACACAGACATTGTAACCTCGTGGACAAAAATATTGTAGGCTCGTGCACACAGACATTGTAACCTCGTGGACACAAACATTGTAACCTCGTGCACACAACCATTGTAGCCGCGGGCTCAGGAACATTGTAGCCTCGTGCATTTAGATATAGTAGTCTTCTGCAAACAAACGTTGTAGCCTTGAACACACATACATAACATACTATTGTATATTTTTTTTATCTTTATTTAATAAAATACTGTATAAATCGTACATACATAAATTTTAGAAGGCAATACTACATTACATATACAGTAGTATAATTCTCAGTAAACAAGTGTTTCATTATCACAGAACATGAACTTTAAACCCCTAAATGTTATACTTATTTTACTTGAAATTATTTACAATATTGGAGATTATATTTACATTAATTTACAGGGGAAATTATTACATTTATATATATATTTTATATAATTCTCAGTAAACCTATTTTCCATATGATCACCGAGCATGAGCCGTAAACCCCTAATGTTATACCTGATCCTGCCTCGCAAGAACTTCAATATTTTGTCTACTGAGTAACCTTCCTGCCTGCCTATCCACACACAAAATATATAATCAGAAAGTAGCATAATTATTGTATTCCTAATTTTCTTGCATTTTATGTCAAAATGAAACATTAAAACCGTCATTAACTCCACTCTAAAACTTGGTCCACATAAAGCTGGTAAGTGTGTCTCTAATCGCCTCCTCTACTCTAGGAACTATATTTGGCAGTATAACATCATATACTTGTTTACTGTTCATCATTAAAAAACCTTCAGTATTACAAATCCGCCTGAGAACATCAATTACACATGAATAAAAGTGCGGTAAAATAAAGGCAAGGTCAGTATACTCTGGCATAGTAACAAGTAGCTAACACGTAATTTACAATAGTAATGTCCTAGTGCATTTACACTATTCCTCTGCATTATCTCCTTTCTAAAAGTAACATATAAGATTGCCAATGACGTATGATACACATTCAGTATTCCTATTCCACCGTTTTTTCTTACCTTTACATAGGGTAGTCCGTTTAATTGGTTGGTACTACCATACCATACATATCTAAATATAGTTTTGTCAATCTCCAAGCACTTTTCTTGTCTATGGGAAAGCTGTGAGACAAATACCACACTTTAAACAAAATTTTGCAATTGATTATTACAGCCATCTGAAAGTAGGTTAATTTGCTATTTGACAACATATTCGTTGCAACTATTATATTCCCACATAGTACTTGCCAATTCGTAACCAATGTTGTTCCATATGTTTTGGATGGTGTTGGATGCCCGAAACGCTTTGCGTAATAGTGGCTTTAGGCATTGTATGTACTAGCTCTATTTATCAGTCCACCAATCTTTGTAAAAATTTCTTGTATGTATGTACCTTACCTAAATAAACATTTATTTATTTATTTATTTATACCAGCAAATCTCAAGAGCTTTAATAGACTCTACTACCTTGAACCATGAACCTGTCCAGGTAACTTTATTACACCAACTACCAAGCCCCATCATACACGTTTGGTTCTTGGTAATGACAGCACTTGTTGCTCATTCAAAGTTGTCTAACTCATCCTGAACATTCACCACCGAAAGGGGACATTCCTAATGTACAGATCGTTCAACTGAAAAAGGGTTACTTAAGACTCCATTGATACACACGATGCTCCGACACTGTTTATAAAGCATACGGATCCAATAAATAAATTCTTGTGCCACTCCCACCCTATCCAATATTTCTAATACAAACTGAACATCAACACGGTCAAAGGCTTTCGACCAGTCGAGGTTTATCATAGAGGAATGAACATTATTCTCAGACACATAATACATAACATCCCTAATTACATTATTACAATTGATTATAGATCTTCCAGGCACACCACAAAACTGTTCCTTTGATATAATTTTATCCATTGCAATCCTAAGTCTATTTGCCAGCAATTTCGATATTATTTTATAATCCTGGTTTAGCAAGGAAAGTGGCCTACAGTTCGTTAGAATATGCAAATCACCCGTTTAGGTATCATCTTAATAATCCCATGAGATTGTGACATGCTAAGCTTCCTGTGCTGTATGCTATACTGCACCACTTGTACAAACTCTACCAATGACATCCCATAGATAGAAATACAATTCCGCCGGGAACCCATCACAGTCAGGTGATTTACCCTTCTTTAAACTCTTGACCACACTCCACACTTCTTGCTAATCTATATCTTCCAGTAATGACGTGTTGTCATCCTGGGTTAAAACCCGTGTATATTTTCCAAGGAAATACTCCAACATACCTTGGTCTACGTCCATTTTTTTGTACAATTTCTCTAATTCACCTCGAACATAACATACAGTCCCATCCGTATTTTTCATATCCGTCCCATCACCTGCTTTAATACTAGTCACAAGAGTTGTACCCTTGTTATTCTTGGCTTTACTTAACAAATAAGGAGTGAGTTTTTCACCATACATCCTATCATTAATCTGGAGGCGAACATTGACTTCTTCAGATATTTCATTAGGCATTTTGTTAATTCTGTCCTTTAAAATGTTAATTTCTTCATACTTGTCTAATCCTATATTAACCTTTGCATGAAGTTGTTTTAATCTGTGTTGTGATAAGTTTTAAAGGCAACATTTTTCTTGCAAGAAACTTTTGTATGCAGTTTTACAAATGTCCCACCACTCCAACAGACATCTGAACTAATGTTTTTGCCCATCTTCTCCATAGAACCTTCATGCCATCCTAGTCAACCAATCTGTAGAATGGAAAAAAAGGTTATGAGTTTTTGTTGTTAATGTTGTAAAATAAATACAGTCATTATTATTATATTCATCATTCAATCTTAACAAAGTATTACTCACCACACTGTTATCCTAGCCAACTTCGTCACACAACGTTTCACACTCATCAATACCGTTTAAGCAGAATGTTTGCTTACACACTAGCATTTTCATCTGAGCATACGTGAATTTCAAAACTTTTTCATCATTCTTACAAAATTGACCATATTTCAATGCATTGATAATGTGTGCATAATCTTCTCTTTTTCAGGTGATAATGGTTTCATAACATACTCCTGTAGAGGTGAAAATTGTCATAACATACTCCTGTAGAGTTGATAATGGGTGCATAAGGTACTTCTGTAATGGTGATAATGGGTGCATAACATACTCCCATAGATGTCTAACATAAATGATAATGGTTGCATACTATACTTTTGTAAACATGATAATGGTTGCCTAACATTCTCCTGTAAGTTTATAATGAGTGCATAACTAACCCTTGAAGATAATGATAATGGTTGCATAACATACTCATGTAGATATGATAATGGTTGCATAACATACTCCTGTAGAGTTGATAATGGTTGCATAACATACTCTTGTAGAGTTGATAATGGTTGCATAATATTCTTTTGTAGATATGACAATGGTTGCATAACATACTCTTGTAGATATGATTATGGTTGCATTACATACTCCTGTAGAGTTGATAATGGGTACTTAACATACTTCTGTAGAGGTGATAACGGTGCTTAACATACTTTTGTAGGGGGTGATAATGGTGCATAACGAGATTTTTTGTTGTGTTGTGCAGACTGGACAGACCTCCACAAGGCGGCCTACCATGGCGACAAGAGCCAAGTGGAGGCTCTCCTCGCTAAAGAAGCCGACATCATCAACGCCACAACCGTCACCAATGAAACATCTCTCCTTCTGGCTGTACAGGAGGACCACGTGGCCGTTGCTGAGGCCCTCATTCACCGCCACGCTGATATCAACATTGCTGACCTTAAGGGTAAGACCACGTACTATGTCAACCTTGCTGACCTTATGGGTAAGGTCACTTACTATGTCAACGATTCTTCGTGGGGGTCGTATTCCAGGGACGTGCCTGAAACGCTACGCGTACAAGAATGTTAACAACTCTTGTATATATAAAAAACAAAAAAAATGCTGACCTTACGTGTAAGGTCACTTACTATGTCAACCTTGCTGGCCTTATGGGTAAGACCACTTACTATATCAACCTTGATGACCTTATGGGTAAAGTCACTTACTGTTGGAAATATCCAACAACTATTTACTAATCCCTAATACAATAGGATGTTTTTCCTGTATTAGGCATCATGATTATTTAATACTTATTTACTAATCCTTAGTACAATGGGATGTATTTCCTGTACTCAGTGTCATAATTAACTAACACTACTAATCCGTTGTTTAATGATACAGAATTCATTGCATTAGGATGTGAAACGTCATGTAATTTCTCCTAGAATCGTGGCAGTGTTGCGTCAGCCACCCACAGGGAATAAATTTCCACATATCTGTAGACCCAACAGAGTCCAACCGTTTACTTTCCTTTATCAAGGATAATCATTTATTTATAAGTTTACTTTATTTAGTATACTACAGTTTACTGGAATTCCCTTACCCAGCTAGATAGCTGTTCCAGTGAATAATATTATAATATAAAATAATTTCCACTTCCAAGCTTCTCATTTTATTTGTGCAGTCTACATTAACTGACTTGCATTGCGAGAAATTATATTATCGTATAAGGTATTTAATTATGACATAAATATTCGTTATACACACTTCCTTCCCTATTGAACTTCAAATAATAAAAATCATTTATACTCGGGCTCTTACTGGGATCTATTGCGCATGCGTTCCCGAGATGGAAGGGGGACGCCATTTTTTATCCTCTGGCAGCAAGGTGTACTAAAGTGGTCCTTCCAAATCTTCCAATCCTGCAAGCATCCGTACATCATAGGGCTTCAGATTGAAGACGCAGCTTACCAGAATCACGAACATCCGTTTCAGCAGGCATTTTACCACTTAGTATTATTTAATGAGCTCTTAAAAATGTAACTAATGTAGGTACCCTGTCGTTATGCTGTAGGCGAACCAATACCCCCATGTGAGTGCTACTTTCACCTGTCCAATTATCTTAGATCTAACATTTAAATATCTGAATACTAGTTTGGAGTGGAAATTATGGAAGTTAACTAATTTCAGCGACATGTAAGTCAACCGAGGAGGCGTGTGACTGTCCACATGATCACGTGTCCCAAGGATTACTATCTCTCGGCTGGTCTCAACGTGTTATAGAGATTGGACGCATTCTACATTCCTCTAAAACTAGCTGAGAATATTACCAGTTTAAATTAGTAGATAGTGCCCTTGTGTTATGAGAGTAAGAATTAGAATTGATTTGCATATTAATTATATACATGATTTAAACATTAATGTGCCGTAATATTTACATTGTATTCAACTAACCATTACTCATATAATTTATAATCTATGTACAATCATTTATTATTATTATCACGTATGCAATTTATTATATTACATGCATTACGTAGACTAACCTCATAGAATACCCACCCAAAATGTGTTATGAGAAGCGGCTCTATAATTTATATTGACTTTAAAGTTCATTATTGCATAAGAATAGAATCTTTAGAATTTAATTGCATTTAATCATAGAGATCCATAAACCACTGGTTCTCTCATGTTTTCTTACATTCAGGTCCTTCCAGCATTCATAGAATTATATCAATTTATTAGCATATAAACTAGAGCCAGACTTCCCTACACTTACTATGTCAACCTTGCTGACCTTATGGGTAAGACTACTTGTTACGTCAACCTTGCTGATCATATGGGGTAAGACCACTTGGTAAGTCAACCTTGCTGACCTTATAGGTAAGACCACGTGTTATGTCAACCTTGCTGATCATATGGGGTAAGACCACTTGGTAAGTCAACCTTGCTGATCATATGGGTAAGACCACTTACTATGTCAACCTTGCTGATCATATGGGGTAAGACCACTTGGTATGTCAACCTTGCTGATCATATGGGTAAGATCACTTGGTATGTCAACCTTGCTGATTTTATGGGTAACACCACTTACTATGTCATCCTTGCTGACCTTATGGGTAAGACCACTTACTAAAATGACGGTCTGACAACATATTTAAACTAGCTGACAAAGAATGAACAGGCACAGGACCTGTAGCATGTAACAGGACCAACTACACGAGGGAGATGAACAGACACCTAGCGGACGAGGTCTCATACCACACCATCGGAGACCATGCAGCAACACCCAGAAACACGCAGACAAGAAGCAGGCAAATAATCCTCAGATTTTTCGAAAACTACATTGGGAATGGAAGGGAAGGGCTCATACAAACAAAAGCCAGAGACTTTTTCAATGCTTTCATCTCAGAAAAACCCTACATGTATCTCCTACCAAAGATACACAAACAACCACACCCGGACACAGGAAGATGGCACGATAGACCGATACTAAGCGGCTGCAAGGCACCCACGAGGCAGGTGAACTGGATTTATACAGCTCTGCTGAACCCACTACTATGGCTCATACCAGCGAGACTACGTGACACAACATACTTCGTACGAAAGATACGAGAAATTGAGGCAGTATTCCGGAAGCCAGTCAACTTTTCTCGATGGATGTGGTATCACTCTACCCGAGTATAACACAGAGAGAATCGGCCAGAATAGTGGCTAATTTCTTCAATGAGAACAAACACAAGGTAACTACAGAACTAAAGAAGGCAGGAGTCTGGAGGACACCGCAAAAGTATTTGATGGAAGAAGCAATTCTCCATGTGATGAGAGACACCCTCCTGCAGTTTTAAGGACGAACGTACAAACAGATAAAAGGCACAGCCATAGGGGCATTTAGCAGCGTGGCGATCGCCGAAATATTTATACATGTGGCCTTTAAAACAGCAAGATCCCAGAGGATCGATGCGCCGCTAATATATTACAGATATATTGGTGACATTTTTGACATCATGGCCACTGGCCAACAACATCTACACACTTTCTTTGCCTGGGCAAACATGACCCACGACAACTTGAAATTTACATTAGAACATAACAATTCAACAATACATTTCCTGGATACAAGAGTGTTCATTGACCACACGAGTAGGCGCTTCCAAACGAAGGCGTACTACAAACCCACAAATCTCCATACTTATTTGAAGTTTGATTCAAGCCACCCAGCAGCTCTGAAGACTTCCCTGTCATACTCTCTAGGCCTCTGCCTAAAGAAAATAAACAGCATGGATGAAACATTGCAGCCGGGGTTACAGGATCTCTGAGATGTTCAGGGTTAGGGGCTATCCAGATAAAATTCTACACAAGCCTAGACTATGCTGACAACACAAACCCGAGCTCAACTCCTCGAAACTCCAATTCCAAAATAAGATGATAAGAGATGGATCCTCCCAATTTCGTTTTTTAGTATGGTCCTGGATGAAGGAGACATACGAGGAACATCCATTCTGGCTGAACTTCCCTAGAGATCCTATTATGGTCGCATGGAAGAGAAATAAATCTCTCAAGGAACATCTTGTCCGAGTAGGTCTAAGACAGGAGACCCAGTCTATATAGTCAAGCAGCAGAACTAACCTTCCTACCCTAACCTACTAGTGGAACAAGTTTTTGGTTCCCCCATAGGTTTTTCTTACAATGCTTGAGGAGTGGTTAGAAGGGCCCTCACATGCCAAAGAAACTATGTCAAAGTAGGTGGTATTGGGCCAGTAATGGTAACTATCTTGGCTGTTCCCCCCTCTCCACCCCTCACTCAAGTAAGTCAGCTGCTCTCCACCCCCATTTCCTGGGGGTTGTTATGACACAGTGAACACATCATATAATTAATTGTCATCCACACTTTTGTGGAACTAAACATTCCATTCACCTAGGCTCTAGGAGTCTCTAACCGTAAAACCCATGTGTGTGAAGCCGAAGCATCACACACAGGGGAGGACGAGGGCATGGGGAGGAGGGGAGTGGTAGGGAGGAAGAGGGGATGGGGGAGGGGGAGATGGTGAGGAGGACGAGGGAACGGTGGAGTGGGGAATGGTTAGGAGGATGAGGGGATGGTGGGGTTGAGAATGGTGGGGAGGACAAAGGAACGGGGGAAATAGTGGGGAGAATGAGGGGACAGGGGAGTGGGAATAGTTGGGAGGACAAGGGGATGGGGGAGTGAGGAATAGTTGGGAGGACGAGGGGATGGGGGAAGGTTGCTGTGGCTCAGCAACGCATGCACAGCAACGCATGGCCGGGTACTGCTAGTTGTCAAATAAGACAAATTAATTCTCTATAGTTTCTGATACATCTGATTTCCATCAACTGGGGAAATTGAATAAAGCGTAGAAAATATTCAACGCATTGTAGTATGACTGCACATGCACGAGCTACCCAGGGGAGAAGGAGGAGAGACTATCAAGCAACGTCGTATTTAAGGAGAGTGTCTGGAAGCTGACCACACAATCGTCTTCATAGAGAACCATCCGTGTAGCTTCATTGCGTCACAGACACCGTGTCCGGCACATTAGTTTGTTCTTATCTAGTTTTTTGTAGCTACATTAAATATTTTAGATAAGACAGTGTGTTGTTATGACACAAGCCCCCAATACCAAATCCGTAAGTCTCCTTTGCTTTAGCTATTCCCATTAATTTCTATGAATACTTGTGGAATAATATATTCTTCAAAAGATTTTACATGTGAATTGTCTTTCAGCTGGAGTACCAGTGCAAGCGAGATGATAACTTCCTCGACCCTCACGTGTTCCCAAAGTAGCCTGATGAAACACGTTTCAGGCGACGATTATATGAGTTCACGGAACGATTAATACTATTTCTGCCTACAGCTAAGCTGTCTTTGTAGTTTTCATAGATAGATTGTAGTATTAGTCTTTGATTTCTTAATATCATGTTCTTGCATATCATTTATATATGTGAATATTTGAGTTTTTTTTTTTTTTTTATTTTTATAAATTACACAAATTACAAGAACACACAAAACAACGCAAACCTGTACACATCAAGTACACCAATGAAGTAACAGTACACAGGAATAAACAGTCTGTACACTAAACAATAACAGTAACCGCAAAACAAACACAAGCGCTGAACAAAATGAAAACGCATTGAAGCAATGGGCTAAACAGTACAGGGAAATAAGTGCTAAAACAGTACATGGAAACAATAGGCTAAACAGTTCATATCTACATAGCAACACAGAACATGGCCAAGAAAATTACATGAAAAATAAATTAACAATAAAGTACATAAATAACATTGAAACACACCTGGAACCAATAACATAAACATACACAGACGTGGATATAGAATCACGTGCACAAAACCACGCCTACCACACACACAGAAGAACAAAGGAGCATAGGATCATACACGCGCTACCCAGGAAAATGATATACACTAAATAAGAAGAAATTATGTACACGCACACTAAACACACTCTAAACAACAAGACAAACACACTCATACCACCCACACCACCACGGCACACCACACTGCACCCAAGCACGCAAAATAAAGGGTTACAGGCCAAAGCGAAACACGGCCACAAAAGGAACAGTAGAAAACAGTACAGCAGAAAACCCAGGCCCACGCAGGAGCCAAAACCCCCCTCAAAATCACACACCCACACGCATACGGACACAACCGGCACCCGGAGGTACGGAAAACACACCACACACACACAGGAGCAGCAGCATCTCAAGGGGGGAGACACACAAACACACGCAACCCCCGCCAAGGACACCCCAAGAAGCGGAAAGGGAGCGCATAGCAAAGCAAACCCCGAAACCCCCCAACCCCTCTAAACCCCCCCCATCAACACCCCAACCCCACCCAAGACGAGAACATCACCTTGCCACCAAGGCACCCGCCGACCCAAAGGCAACCCCACGAACATAGGCATCTGTGAACCACCGACCAAACTCCTCCGGAAAAGCGCGCTGCAACCACCACCAGGTAAACCGCATGCGCCCCCGTAAAAATCCTAAAATTCGGGCAATCCCAAAACCCTCCCGCCTCCCAACCCACACACAAAACACATAATCAGCAACCAAAACACACAATGTATTACGCACCCGCTGCGGATAAGCCGGAAAATACAAAAACAAAAACTGCAAAACATCACCCCGACAACCCGGACCACAAAACACCTCCAGGACATCCCGAAACCAGTCCACCAACCCCTGTAACCGGACACAAAAATAAAATACATGCACCTGCGATTCACATAAACCACAGTGAACACACGCCCCAGAATCACGCAAGCCAAGCATACACAACCGCTCATTTGTCGCCAGCGACAAATGCAGAACCCGAAACAGCAATTCACGCTGCTGAGGCGCCAAGAACCGTGCCCCCAAACACGACCAGATACCACCCCAATCCCAACACGGGAACAAGCCCTCCACTCGAGGCCGCACCCGGGGCAACAACACCCCATACACAGCCTTGCACGAGAAAGACAGAAACCCAGGATGGCGGCAGAGCTCCCGAAGAATCCCCACGGCCCAAGAATAAACAGGGGGGGTAACCAAGGCCACCTCCTGACAAACCCCCAAATCAACCAAAAAACTGAAGCGAAGCGAGCAGAAAAACACACCCAGCGTATTCAACCCCCCACCGAGAGCCAGCCCCCGACGCAACGAGACCCAGAAGAGGGCCTTGGCCTTCGTGAAAACGTCAGGAATGCCAACACCCCCCTCTCTCACCCCTAACACCAACGTCGAACGGCGCACCGGTTGATAACGCCCACACCATACATATCTATACACCACACTCTCCAAACTCAAGGCCTTCCGACGATCCAACGGGAAACATCGAGCCACAAACCAGACACGCGACAAGACCTTACACGCAACAAGCAGTCCCCTCTGATAAATCGTCAAGGGACGACGCGACAAAAGGCCAACTGCAACACCAACCGACCGAGAGACAGCACCCCAATTCCACTCCAAGGAGCGGTCATAGGAGGCAAACCAAGTAATCCCAAGAACCCGAATCGAGGAGACCACCGGAAACCACGACCTATCCCACACCAGGCGGGAGGCCCACTCACCGATCCCCATCAACCCCGACTTCGCCCGATTAAGAACGGCCCCCGTAGCGGACTCAAACCGCAGGAGAACGTCCTGGACAGCTTCAACAGAACCCTCCGAAGCTACAAATAGAATGGTGTCGTCAGCATACCCGCAAACGGGTAGCCGGAGACCGGACGGCAGACAAGGAGGCACGATCAAGGAACACGCTTTCACCGCCCGAAAAAGAGGTTCCTGAAAAATCACATACAAAAGCATGGACATGGGACACCCCTGACGAACGGAACGGCAAATAGGAAAAAATGAGCTAAAAAACCCATTCACACAAACGCGACTGCGACTCCGGACATACAACAAACGGATCCACCCCACAAACACCACCGGAAACCCAAGCCTCTCCATAGCACTAAAAACAAACTCTAAAGACACCCGATCAAAGGCCTTGGACCAGTCCAAGCTGATCATAGCCGCCGAAAGCCGATACTCGGACGCATAGAGAAGCACGTCACGAAGTAAGGCATTGCAATGCATCAGGGCACGGCCAGGCACACCACAAAATTGCTCCATAGAGACCACCGACGCAACGACACCCCGACATCGACGCGCTAAAACCTTAGAAAGAATTTTATAATCAACATTTAAGAGCGTAATAGGCCTCCAATTGGAAAACAACTGCAAATCGCCCGGCTTCGGGAGTAGCCGCACGATCCCGTCACAGAAGGAATCAGGCAGAGCACCCAAACGCAAACACGCCTGCACCACTTCCAAAAGCACCCCCCCCAGCACATCCCAAAAGGTAAGGTAGAACTCAATGGGCAGGCCATCCGCACCCGGCACTCTCCCAGAACGAAACGACCGAACCACCTCCAGGAGCTCCACCGTGGAAACATCCTGCACCAACCGGGCACACTCCGAGCGCGACAAACCGGGGAAGCACCTGTCCAAAAAGGAACCCGCGAGCACACTATCACCATGCACCTCCCCATAGAGGGCCTCCAACTCCCGCCGTGCGGTAAGCAGAACACCCTCTGTGCTAGAAAGCACAGACCCATCAGGCCGCCGAAGGCCCTGGAGAAGAACGGAACCCCTAGCAGCCTTCTCCCTCCCTAAAAGAAAGGGAGAGAGCCTCTCCCCATCCACCCGCTCAGCTACACGAGCACGCACGCGAACACCGTCAGCCAACACCGCACGCAAATCACAAATACGCTCCTTACACTCAGCAATCTCACTAAAGCAGTCAACCCCAGCATTCAACCGCACATATAAAGAAGACAAACGCGCCTGAAGGAACCGCAGCAGACCAAACCTCCCGGCAGCCTCCCGCTTAGCAACAATCCCAAAAAACCTCCGACACTCCACCTTACACCACTCCCACCAAACGAACAAAGAGGAGAAATCAGCCTTCCGGGCAACGATGCCAACCCACCAGGCCCGAAACTGCGCACAAATACGTGGACAACGCAATAACCGACAATTGAGTTTCCACCACCCAGGCCCCACCCGCACCTGACTCCGGACACCAACCCGTACAACCACCATACAATGATCCGAGAAAGCCACCGGGACCGTGCGAAAATCAAAAACCGAACACTCCCCACCAGAAACATAGAACCTATCCAACCTAGAACTCGCCCCACGCGCAGCGAAGGTATACTCCAACGAGCCGCCACACAAAACAGCCGCATCGCGAAACCCGCACGCACGCAAAACCTCAATTAAAGCGGCCGAAACATTCCGAGGGTGAGCACTAGAGCAATCCCTCACACTCGTAACACAATTAAAATCCCCCCCAAAGATCAAATCCCGCGTATCATGCCGCAGGTATGGCAAAAGCCCCTCCCGAAAAAACAGCTCCCGGTCCTGACGATGCGCCACCCCAGAAGGGGCGTACACTGTCAAGAACGGAATCACAACCCCCAAATACTCAGCCCGAACAAACAAGACCCGCCCATCTTCATCCATTTCCGTGTGAAGCACGGAAATGGATGCCCTCCGCGAAAACAACATCAGCGTTCCCCCAAAGGACGTCCTCGGCGGGTTCAGCACAACATGATACTCAGCACACAACCCCTGCAACACAGACACATCCCGAACATTGTGCTCTTGGATCAGAGCCACATCCACCCGCTGCTCCCGAAGCACATCCACAAGGCCCAATTGGACCGCCAAAGCATTCAGACCACGAACATTCAAAGACGCACAAACAATAGCAGGCGCCATCGAACCTATTAATGACCCCCAGCCCCTCCAGGACCACCAGAGGGCACAGAGCCACCCACTGCAGAGGCGCCGTCAGCATCCTGAGGCTCAAACTGCCGCCGTTCCACCGTCGGGGAATCCACCATAATGCCTGGCCTCTGATCCCGCAGGAGGCGGACAGTGCCGGCATCACCCAGCGAAGCACGCCGAGACCCCGCTGCCACTGACCAGGTATCACCAACGTCCACCACCGACGAGGAATTCTTGCTGCCAACCGGCACTGCATCACTTCCGGAATCCATATCAGACACAGGAGAATTAGGAGGAGGAGGGGGGGCACCACCCAAGGCACAACTCCGCGAAGCCTCAATCCGTTTGCCAGGGGGCTCTCGACTGCGTGAGCGCGCCCCCGCAACGCGCTTCCGGCGAGGAGCATGGGAGGTCAACGCCCCCTCATGGCACGCACCCGCAGGGGGAGCAGAAGGCGGACTCGCAATGCATGCAACAGGAACGCCGGCACCAA